GTGAGGCGGCTGATAACGCGCTCTTCGAAATTCTCGATCAGCCACTGGCGCAACAGCTGCCATGGTGTGCACTGTGGCACCATCCTGCTGGAACCACAGGCCGTCTCTTTGAACCTTGTCCCTGACCTGAGGCAGAAGCATTCCTTGAGCAGCCTGAGGTAAGCCACCCCGTTCAGTGTTGACCCAGGGGAGAGCCAATGGATGAAGACTTGTCTGTCGACCGTAATCCGTAATGCGTTTTAGTGGTGTCGACATACTCTGCTTTTCCGTGAAGGAAAATTGGCGTTGTGAATTTTCTATTTTTTTTTTTTTTTTGGACAAAACCCTAATCAATTTGCAACAATACGCATATAAAATTCACGCGGAAGTGATAAATTAAGAGCTCCTAACTAAATGTTCAAAAGTAACATTCATTATGAAAGACCCTATGTAGGTAGGGGAGACCCGGGAGGATATGGGCCCCCTGGAGGAATGGGCCATCGCAGTTTTGAAGAAGTGTTGCGTATTTTACACATTTGACGGCGTAAACTGGTAGCGGCCATTCCGTTATACATCCTACATCCCACGTGATTTTCAAAACCTTCCTCAATCTTCTTTGGCAATGAGCGGTGATAAAGCGTTTTTGCCCTTTTCGAGTAAAATACGGTACCTATATACATAAAATTCGTGATGAATTTGACCCAGGCTCGTTTAATGATGTCAGACCATCGCTAACATAAAGTTTAAAGCATGCAAATTAAGACTGGATAGACAATATGAAGTTTTCTTGCAAGATTATAGGTAGGTAAGCTGAGATGCTACGCACATCATGGCGTCATAGCCGGGAGGTTCGGGCGGCGGGCCACCCACCCCCGGTGATCCTAAATAAATAAAAGATGCTTTCATTGAATGTCCCCGTCAATAAGTTTTATTTTTGTCGCGCAAGTTCGAAAATTTAACTTCAAATTTCATTCAAAAAGAAAAATATTATTGATCTTATTCCATGGTGCATGATTGAGTTTGCCAAAATACATATGGGCCCAAGTGACCTCCATGAAGCAAGCTGTTAGCCGCTTATGCGGTTCCTGGGCTCTAAGAGAGATCAAGGTAAGGTAGATACCAGCAGTGACGTACCCAAGGGGGGGGGGCCCTCAGGCCCCAGGATATTTTTTAAACACTGGATAAAACGTCTTTTACTCGGAAGAAAAATTGATATTAAAGTTTCATTTATGTGCCCTGGGTACCCGAGGGGCTCCTGCAGTCACCCAAGGGCCCCCAGTTTCCTGGGCCCCTGGTCGCCTAGGGGGCCTCTGGTAGCCGGGGGCCTGGTCTCATGGGGGCCCCTGATAGCCTGTGGCCCCTAGTCGCCTAGGGGGCCCTGGTCGCATGGGGGCCTCTGGTCGCATGATGCCCCTAATCGACTGGGGGCCTCTAGTTGCCTAGGGGGCCCTGATAGCCGGGAGCCCGGTCGTATGGGCCCCTGATAGTCTGTGGCCCCTAGTCGCCTAGGGGGCCCTAGTCGCATGGGGGCCTCTGGTTGCATGATATTGAGGCCCCTGATCGCCTGGGGGTACCTAGTCGCCCAGGGGGCCCCTGGTAGCCGGGGGGGCCTGGTCGCATGGGGCCCCTAGTTGCCTGGGGCCCCCGGTCGCCCCTAGTCGCCTGGGGGACCCTGGTCGCCTTGGGCCCCTGGAAGCCTGGGATCCCCTGGTCGCCTGGGGGCCCCTGATCGCCTGAGGGCCGCTGGTCACCTAGAGGGCCCCTGGTCGCCTGGGGGCCCCTGGTCGCATGGGGGCCCCTGATCGCTTTGGGGACCTGATCGCATTGGCCCTAGGTCGCCTGGAGGGCCCTGGTCGCCTGGGGCAGTGGGGCCCCTAGTCATCTGGAGGACCTGGTCGCCTGGGAACCCCTGGTCGACTGGGGGCCCCTGGTCGTCTGAAAGTACGCTTATCACCTGATTGATCCCAAATCATCTGAGTGGCTACTGGCTACTGGATATAAGTAATGACTGGAGTAGGCACTCATCTGAAGGAGCCAATATCTTTCACGGTGCCGGAGATATCACAGAAAAACAAAAAGGCTTAACTGAATACCCCCCAACCTTGGCCCCAAAGGCGTCATTGGCTAACACAGGGATGTGGGTCGATTTGCAATAGCATTTCCCCCTAAGTCCTATTCCTCCAATTAATACAGAGTGTCCCAGAATTACCCAAGCATTTATTTTCTGGCTAAAAGTACAATTGCGCTCGATTCCCAGTGAAACATATAATAGCCGCGTTTACCTACATAGGGCTAGTTGCCAGATAGTAGAATTCCGATAACGAGACATCTATTCCCCACTATTATATTATATACCTACATATCCGGCATTGGAGGATGTTCAGTAATTGAGGCGCTCGCTCATAAAATGCCGTGCGTTTAATGCACACTCCTCAAGCAAAGATATTTTTACTTTCCAATTTTCCACATTTTCTCAAGGCTTAGACCGTTATAGAGACCGTTTTAATTGACTTTGATGAAGTTGAACGCGAGAAATCACAACCAAATGCTACATAAGGTTGTAAAGAACTGAATTGCGTTTTCCCACACACGTGGCGTTTTCTCACCTACGTCTGCAGGAGAGACCGGACCCACTATGCCCCCCCCCCCCCCCCACCATCGAAAGGTTCTTCATGACTCCCGGGGGCCCCCGGGGAACCTGGGGGGCCCTATACACTGTGGGGGGCCCCTTCGAAAGCAGGTGGCCCCCTCCTGGGCGAAATCCTGGGTACGTGCCTGGATACCAGCTACGAGTATTATTCTCAATGTCGAGAAAAGAATATGAAACATGGCACCCATGGTACCTCCCGGGCCATGGCCCATACCTCCCGGTGTACTTTGATGGATCGAAAAAGCACATGATTTATTGAAAGTTATCTCGAGACAAAATCGTTGATCCCAGATGCCTAATATCAGGCACACGTTGCAGGCGAAAGGCAATTTCACGTACAGTACAGTGAAAAACCACGTCTAGCCACTGCCCACTGGAAGAAAATTGCATGTTCACAAAACGGACCCATACCTCCCGGGTCTACCCTATGTCTTAGATAATTACATATGGGATAAAATAACTCAAACACAATGCCGCATTGCCAACCTCCTTTACTTTCGGGGAAGTTCATCGTTTGTAAGTTTGAAGATGTTGTTGTTTAGCTGGGACATAGTTGAATGCTGATAACGATAACCGTACTTCCAGCTCTTCGTTTATTCGAGAAGCTTTCGGAAGCTATACTGCTTCCTTCGTCAGCTCCTTAAAAAAAAACTAAAATACAGTGAGACACATATATATACACTATCGAGTCGTTTCGCTTCGAAATTCGAACACATATAGGTATGACCCATTTATGTGTTCGAATTTCGAAGCGAAACGACTCGATAGTGTATGTACGTGTATATGTGTCTCACTGTATTTTAGTTTTTTTTAACGAGCTGACGAAGGAAGCAGTATAGCTTCCGAAAGCTTCTCGAATAAACGAAGAGCTAGAAGTACGGTTACCGTTATCGGCATTCATCGTTTGTAAACAGGTATCGCACATTATACATTAGCTTATTACAAGCATAAATCCCATTACATGCTAATATAATGTTTCTCACAAAAGATCGGAACGGCCAACCATGAACCAACCGATCAGCAGCTCAGAATTGACGGTTTGACATTGACAGATACTGACAGAAGAGGTTACGATTATAACTTACGATTATAGTTAACTAGCTTAAGTTAACTTAAGTTAACTAACTTATAGTTAACTTCCTCAGATCGCTAACTCGCTCGATTTCGATCTGGGATCCATAGGGATCATAGGTGTGTTCTATCCTTCCGATCATCACGATAGGTCAAACCACTCGGTTACAGAGCAAACGCAGCCTGTTATACAACGCGGCAGCACAAGGCTTTCCCCATCAGGCCACGTGCCTGGGCACGCTCACAGTTCAAACAAGAGAAATGCGAGTTATATAACCGGCGTAGGCCTTGACCCAGAGGCCGGAGACCAAGACGAGATTAGTGCAGCTCAACGCAGCACCGGATTAAGATGCTATACTCCGGAGCGCCAAAGACAATTGCCGAAAATTTATAAATTTGTTTGGGGCATGCATATCCCAAAAGCTGACATCGAAATTTAGCATGTGTTTCCTACTTACCGTGGTAAATATGCCGATGTATCTGGTTCGGTTGACCGCATTTCTTGTCAAACAGCGCGGAGCACATGTATCCATGACGAGCTGCGTTCCGGCGCTATAGAGCTTCTACTCTCACCGCCACGGGCCGTCCCACGACACACAGGCACACACACACACACACTCGGCGAGACGGTGTCGTAGGCGACACGCTTCCCACTCGCGCCCCAGAGGCCGTGTGCGCGCCGCCCCGCTACGGCACGAGAGGCCTGGTGGGCGGGGCATACGGGGAGGGGCGGGGAGCGACGGTGGCTCACTTGGCAGCGCGCCAGCTACAGCGGTCGATACGAGAATTGTTGGATCACACGCGCACCGCCAGCGAATCAAAGCGAGCCATAGATCAATGGGCAAGAGTGCGCCGTTTTGAGCAGCGAGAAAGATTTGTTGATATGGATTGCTGGCGGTGAAATTTTGCGTCATTATGTGTGGTGGGTACCTACTCCTCGGAGGCGAGAGACAGTGTTCGCTGTTCATTGGTCCATGATATCGATAATCGACCTGTGCGTCTACTGTGCACTGTGCAGACCGTTACCCTGGAGACCAGATAACTTATCAGCCCAACCGATGAGGCTTAGTCGAGAGAAGCATGTGAGGAGGAAGAAACTGGAAAGGCGAATTTTTTGAAAGGCGGATGAATGGTAATTACGTACCGGCTAGGAGTTATTTTCTTTGTACAGTTATAAAAATAATTTATAGCTTTTCGACCACTGCAATATTTAAAAAAAGATATTAAATAAGTCGTCCTGTTAAATAATTGCGTGACTGAAAGTCAAACAAGGAATTAACGACATGTATTATCAGGATAGTCTATACAATTTAACTCTGAATTTATTCGACCGGACAAAAAATAATCAGTTACACAAGACTTCGTCAATTTGGAGAGCGACGTGCGTTTTCTCCGTGTCAGAATGGGCTGAGCTTGTTGGCGACGGCCCACAGCGATCCGGCCGAGACGGGCTCGCCGCTGCTGCAGATGCCGGGCAGCCAGCAGAGGAGGCCCGTCACCAGGCTGGCCAGCCACAGCTCCGCCGTCTCCAGCAGGCCGGGCTCCTCGCGCGCCAGGCCGAGCGCCGTCAGCACGGCGCTGGGCGCCTGACCCACGGCCTGCGCCACGTCCCAGAGGCCCAGCTCGGGCGCCAGCGCCGCCCACAGCGCCCACACGAGCAGCGGGGCGCCGGCCGCCAGCAGGGCGCCCCGGTGGCTCTGCAGAGCGGCAGCCAGCCGCGAGCTGAGAGCGGGGGGCGCCGGCCGGCGGGCGCCCATGTTGGCGCGCGCCAGCAGCAGCGCAATGTCCGCCTCGTCGCCGCAGCCCTCCATGGCCTTGACGTCGAACACGTCGCCGTGGCCGTGCTTCTGCATCACCGAGGTCAGCGTCCTCGTCAGAGCCCTGCAACAGTCGGCAGCCAGCTGGTAAGTCGCCAGCAACTCATTCCAACTTTAGGTAACGTCTAACGGACATGCAACATGTCAGCCGAAGTCACCGATTACGATAAGGAAAATTGAATGCCAAACATACCTACATCGTGAACGGATTAAATAAGAAGCGATCGTAAGTGTGAACATTTAAAGACGAGTGTTCAACTTTTTAGGCGTTTAGTTGTATAAGTCAACTTTTGCGCTGAGAGAGGTGTGCGACACTGTAAATCTGCTTACCTTTCTTTCGATAAATTTTGTTTTAATTCGTCCATAATCCTGAATATGGCCATCATTGAATTCATTATCTTTCCCATTTTGTCTGCCCAGGCAAGTTGGTCTCGAGCACTTTCTGCATTACAGGCGACTTGAACACAGGCCGTAAGTGTTTTGTGCATGACCTTTGCTTTCCAAAAAAGGTCACCAGCGGCTGCCTCTTTCCGTTTGGGATCCTGCATGGTCTGATACGCCTGCAACAGGAGAGTTTATCATTACTGGGTGATATATTCCTGCGCCTTCCTCATAAAAACGAGCCAGCAAATCGTTTGAAACAATTATTGACCACAGGTCACCTAAGGTCAGGTAGGAAGGTACCGTCTGCTGGTAGGTACCCAGGTCATAAACACGCCTGCTAAAATTGCGACCCAGTCATTCCTACAGCTTATCTCCTAAAACTTTAAAACTCAGCTCAGTGTATTGTACATATGAGGACATCCGTTCAAACAATTTGTATATCTCTTATTTTCTTGATACGTAACTTGGGACTTGTACCGACAGACTTGTCACCCCACCATTATAAAGCAATGTAAAATAACAAACGTCTCCTGCTTTGACAATACAGGGCATAACCGCAAGATATTTTCGAAAGCACGACAACTCTATTCATATGCAATGGACGGAAGTGCAACTGATGGCCAGCGGCCACTCAAAAGGTCATCTTAGGTCATAAAAGGTCACCAACAGCTCTTCGACAATCACTTTTGATTGAGACTTGCTAGAGCAATGAAGGCGCCTGGAATGTTTTAATCTTATCAGTACATACGGATCGATTTATGTACATGCAGTAGGACCTTTCCCACTCAGCTCGTGACCTTGACCTGAGGTCAAAGCTGCAAGTTCAACTTATAAAATGTTAGGTCAAATCATAGTTTAGTCTACGCGTCTGGATGAAAGAAATACGATGATTACGAGCGAGCGAGCGCAGCGAGCGAAGCGAAGTCTTTTCAATATCACGGAAAAATCTCAGTATGAGCGGCCCGGCCCGGCCCGGCCTGTAACGCTTTTGAGAGGCTTATATCTCAGCAACCGCTGGACCGATTGGCCTGCGATCTTTTTTGTTGGGTAGCCCCATCCCTGCTACCCCGTAATTGACTACTTTTGATACATCTCAGTGACCGTCGTGGCACATGCCACGTGAAAAGTCAAGGGTGTTCAAGCTGTTTTGAAAAAGTAGTGATTTTGAGGGGCGCATATCTCAGCAGCCGCTTGGGCGATTGTCTTGCGGTAATTTTTGTAGGGTAGCTGCATCCCAAAGTAATCTTGGCTGCATCCCTTCTACCAAAGGTCGGATACTCTTGATCTATGTGAGTGACCCCTACTGCACGTGCAAAATGCAAAAAGAAGAGGTGACAAATTTGTTCCCATTTCAATAACTCTGTAATTACTGGGGCGATTTCGCTAAAACTTGGCATACAGGTAGGCACCCACCAGGCAAAGCATTCCCATGTGTTGCGGCTAGGGTGCTACTGCACGTGCGCACGTGCAGGGGGCGCTCCCAGATCTCGAGAACGGCTGGACCGATTGCGCTCAAATTTGGTACACGGTTGGGGACTGGTTAGTAGGGTGCCGTGCAAAGTCAGTTTGGACCCCGTTTGCACGTGCGCACGTGCAAAATGCCACTTCCAGATCTCAGGAACGGCTGGGCCGAATGCGTTCAAATTTGGCACACCGCTAGCGACCGGTTAGAAGGGTGCTTTGCACAGGCCCGTTAGAAGAACCCTTCTAACGGGCCTTCTAAAGTACCCTTCTACCCTTCTCTCACCCTTCCGCACGTGCAGGGCGGCTCACTATCTCGCTCGCTCGTTCTTCTCCCAAAAGGCGTTTTACTGGTGGTAAGAGATGTAATGAATTAATTGACCAATTAAACATGTCAGATGAAATGTTTCGGCAAAATCCGCCCATTTTTGCGATTTTTGTCACATGTGGACTAATCCTTTGACCACCGGATGGTAATTACGATGAGATTGGGCGAAAAAACTAAATGTGCTATCGAATGCGCTTTTCTGTGACGATTGTAGCTCTTTTGATTTACAAGTTATGCGCTTACCTATTTATGGCAAGCATAAAATCGGGAAAAAAATTGACGCGAAAATTGTAACATTTTTTGCGATATCTTTATAACTTCCTGTTACCTTCGCGTTTATTGGAGCCTACAATGGTTTGCATGTATCTAAAATAACTTATTGGAGCTATCAATTGCTTTTGTGAGAAGTGAGAACGGTCTTTGAGCTTTTTTTGAGCTTTTGAGATAAGCGGGGGTGGCCAATAAGGCCCTCCACCATGAAGAAGTGGCCGAGACCCACACCCGGACCCGGGCTAAGACCTGCCATAGCTTAAAGGGACCCTCCCACCTCCAAAAAAGTTAATGAATTGGCATGAAAGTGATGTCGCTAGGTTCAGAAAAAGTGAAAACGAATATCTACCAAATTTCATCGAAAAATATCCACCGGTTTTCAAGATATTAGACTTTTACTTTTGTTTACTTTTTGGAATCTCCGCTGTTCCTGGCGACTTTATATGAAAGTGCGGCACTTGTTGCGCGCAAAGCAGCATATACCACCGCGTGCTACAAAACGTTTTAGTCAAACATTTAAAAATCGTTAGATATCTGCGCTGACGTCACACATTCAGAGGGGTATTCCTATGCATTAGCCCCTCTGAATCAAAATGCTGCAATTTTGAAATTCAATATTTCCGAATTAAGGCATTTCTCGATGTTGTGAGTGCCGAAACCGGTAATTGTGAGCCAGGGACCCCATTTTGGCTATCTCAACTCAAATCTAATGTTAAGGTGGGAGGGTCCCTTTAAATCATTCTTACCTCGAATGCACCCTTCGCTTGTTTCATTAGTTCGTCGGCGTTCCTCAATGCATCTTCTAATGCAGCTTGTGATTGATTCGCCTCTTGCTGAAGCTTCTTTCGGCGCCATGGAGAGACACAATTCATCAATTCCTTATACATCATTTCTGTTTCGATGCCATTCGATTCTAGCTCGTCTTTTCGAACAATTAAACTACCAAGGGCTTCCTTCGTTTTTTCGTGTAACTCGTCATTTGCTCTGTCGGGATCTAACGCTGTCATTTCACTCATTTCGTCTCGAGGAGTTCTTGAATCTACAACAGAAGATCGGGAATGACTACGAGATGACCTTGCATCGCTTCGCAGTGACCTGGTTGACCTCGACTGGTCGCCACTCACAGATGATTGCTCAGGTATTGGGCTTAGATGTTCCGTCGAGCGTCCTCCGCTGTTTCGCCTCTGCCTGGCGCTCATAATTGATATTAAAACATTCTTTAAAAACTGTGTTTGGCGATTAATGTGATGTCACTTGGATATTATTCACCCTTGATTCGGAGCCAGAAAGGCATTGATTTTTGACGATGTCTCGCGCTTTGACATGTAAAATAGGACACGTGATTTTTACGTAATGGCCCCCGCAATAAAAGGGAAAATGTTGGCGCCATTAGAATTGTGCATTTCAATTTGCATTGTCATGGGTGTCATGCTCGATCACATATTAGCCGTTTTCACGACGGCCATCTGGTACACATTTGGTGCACATCTGGTACAGATTAGGTGCAGATCTGGTCAAATCAGGTTCAGTGTGTCTCTTAGCAGCTATCAGCTAAGGTTGCACTAATTGCTTATATGCCTTCTTTGCCATATTATCAGAGAGCATCATCGATTAAAAATTTAAAACACTGAAATAAATTCATAAAATGAAGATATTTGCTGTAAAAGAAATCAGGTGCAGATTTGGTCAAATCAGGTGCATTCGCCGGATAGCCCGTCGTGAAAACGGCTATTGCCCGTATAACCTACAGATAAGTTAATATATACGGCGTACATACATCTACTCTAGTGTTCCCAATTTTGATATTGTTTGAACAATCATTAGCACTGAGCAGGAATAGGTAATAGAACAATAGAGTTGCTCTGTAACGTTTTGCGCTGCTGTAACGCTGTTTATAGTACCTAGCTGATGTGTTTCCTAATAATATACGGTTGAAATGACCAACGAAACACTTCCTCGCATTTATGTTGATATTTTTCACATTCATTAAGTACTCTTCTTGGTAATAGTTCAATAGTTTTCATTGACTGCCCAGTGCACATTAGCCGTTTTCATGACGGCCATCTGGCACACGTTTGGTGCACATCTGGTACAGATCAGGTGCAGATTTGTCAAATCGACAGGTTCAGTGTGTCTCTTAGCAGCTATCAGCTAGGGACGCTAGGGTTGCACTAAGTACCTAATTGCTTATATGCCTGCTTTTTCATATTATCAGATAGCATCATCGATTAAAACACTGAAATAAATTCATAAAATGAAGATATTTGCTGTAAAAGAAATAAGGTGCATATTTGGTCAAATCAGGTGCATTCGCCGGATAGCCCGTCGTGAAAACGGCTATTAGCATCTATCGTCATTTAGAGTAGGAGATAAGGCATAGTACCAGTGCTCCTCACTCTTCACGAGTTTTTTTTCTGCCGTGGCTACCCACATACCTACTAACCTTAGATACCACCATAGGCAGTAAAAGGTGAAATTTTCTTCATTTAGACGTTCTTAAGTTTTAACCCGTGCCCGGGTGTGCCCCTCAGCCAACCTCGCCATGGGGGGGGGGCTAATTGGCCACACCAGGTTATCTCGGAAAGCAATCAAGCTAGAAAGACGCGGTAAAAAAAAATAGATAGGTCAAGGTCAAGGTCAGGTC